GATGAATGGATAGGGTATTTGAAATATAAATTAGGATAGAGACTGATAGTCTCAAAAACTACTCATATCGAAAGTAAATACATTACCGTGCATCAGGTCTTTACAGTATATACTTTTTTTGCAAAGGGTCTCAACAATGGTTGCGGATGAACAAATAATCAGATGAAGAGATATATAGAACAGATAAAGAAGACCAGTTAAAATAAGTAAAATACGGCTCTATCAGTTGAAAATGAGGCCAATTTTGTCTATTCAGATTTTCACAAAATTTGTCTTTCTCATCATCGTTTTGCCTATTTCTCAATGGAACCATACCCTTTTAAAAAAACAGAGAATATTCATTCAAGACGAGGAGACATAAGTCAAAATGTGTGATGCTGCATGCAATTCTGCCAATGCGACTGGATTGTTGACTATTGCTGTAGCAAGAAGCGTCAGTTTTAAGCAGACACCTCATGAGGCGAACGAATGCCCACTTCAAGGAGTAGAGCCCCAGTTTCCCACGATAACTCCATATAGACAGACACTTTTCGCTTTTTCAGACTTGCCTGTTTGGCCTGCGCCCGAGGTCGGGTCGGATGGCAACGACTGCAGTTGCCAGGTCCACCAGCTTCGTCAACACTGCAGGAATACCAGCCTGCCGAAGTGTCTCTACTTGAGTGCTCCAAGTGGTCGAGCCAATGCAATTGTTTTCCAATTTGGCGCCAACCTTTGGACCTCTCGGTCAGACCTCCACCAGCAACATTATCTCACCAGCGCTTCTCTCACGCTGCCCTCTGAATCGTCATCCGCTGCCTCCTCTCTCCTCTACTCAAATCACATGCAATTTGTGCTTCCGAATGCCCTAGTTACCAGAACAGCCCCAACTGTCTCGGGAGAAGCAGGTATTCCAGCGCGCACACCTCTTAACCACGACCAGACACCGAGCTGTCCTAAATTTATAGCCCATATGTAATTATCTTAACAATCCAAAGAGTATTTAATTAACAGCTCAAACGCCAGGCCCAGCTTCTTTCTCTTTTGACAGCTCACCCTCGTTACTTCCTTCCTACCCAAACCACCGTTTGATGATACAAATGGTTCGCGAATGCAAGATGTAGCCGATATGTCCCGACATCAAGCGGGATTCAGGTTGCCCAAGCGACCTCCAGCTTCCTCGCAAATGCTTCAGTCCCAATG